ACATGTAATATTACAAAAGAAGAAGCAGAAAGTAAGAAAGTTGAAAAATATTTATTGAACAATTTTTAATTCAAATTAAAAGCAAAATTAATTTTTAAATATCAAAAAAATATAAATATAAGAATTAAAAAATGAATTATATATATGTATTATTTATATGCATTAAAAAATATTAAAATATTATCTATATAAAAATAAGAAAAGAAAATTATAAAGATAATATTATTACTGAAACAATGAAATTTTTTTCAATATTATGAAAAACGAAAGAAAGAAAAATCTACAAATTGTTGAATTGATTTCAGAGATCTGCAATGAACCAATGAAGAAAGGACGATGCAATAGTAACATCATACGTGTATATTTTGATAAACAAACTGGTCAATGTCGTAGATTTAGTTATTCCGGCTGCGATGGAAATCGAAATAATTTCGAAACTGAAAAATATTGCAATGAAATTTGCGGTGATTTTCAGAGTAAGTTTCATAATTTAGATATTTTATAATTATAATAATTTATTAGAATAATTTTTTTTATTTATCATTTTATTTAAGAATTTATTAATAATCGAAATAAGAATTATTTAAAAGATAAATTAAAACTTTGACATTTTAACAAATTTTAACATAAGTTTTTCTCTAATTTCAAACTAACTCAAGAATTTAAATTTCTCATAATTAAAAATAATAAATGTAATTATTTAAAGATTGTGAATTTGTATTTTTTTAATAAAATTTTTACTATTATTCTATGCATGCTTGCTTATAAAACAAATGTAGGAGAGTCAAGGGGAAATATATCGACTATGACGAAAAATTATAAAGTATCTCTCAGCAGTGTTCTCAGTTATCATATACCTGTGCAGGGACAACGCAGCATGAAGACAAAGCGAGCTCATCATGGTGATGCTAATTAGCTTACTAACAAATTGCATTAATTTGCATTATAAATTAAATTATCAATCTTTTTGGTCTTAATTTTGATTTCTATAAATAAGAATTTATTATTTTTTATATATTTTGTATATTTTTTTTTATTAACTTATACATATTTCTTATTTATTCATTTATTATTTTATTTACAAATAAAAATTATTAAATTGATTCAAAATAAAAAGAATCATTTGAAAAATCATCATTTCTTTTAATTATGAAAAAAATTATAAATTTTTCATTATAAATTTCAAAATTGATTAAGTCATTATTGAATATCATTGAAAATTAATTATTGAAAATTTATATTAAAACATAAATAATTAATAATTTCAATATTATTTTAATGATAGTTTCATTATCAAAAATTTTTTTAAAATTTGTATGTTTTACATTTTGTTTTTGGTTTTTATCTGTATAAATTAATATTGAATTTAATGAATTTCTGTTTATTTGGAAATTTTTTTGTTTTTTTTATATTATATATATTTTTTATAATAATATATATAAATAATATATTTTATAAAATATCTTCTTGCAGAGAAATTAAAATTCAAAGGCATACAACCAGATAGTCAAGTGATAGAATCATCTAATGTTGCGAAAGATATCGATTGTCAAATATCCAATTGGAGTAATTGGTCTGCATGTACAGGATGTCGTGGGTATACTGAAAGTACAAGACAAATTCAGGTAAATAATTTTTTTATATTTATAATTTATAAATCTTTTTAAAAAGATTGCTAAGTCTATCTAATCATAAATAAATATAATCATAAATATAATCTAAATTATATAATAAGAATATTGTTATTTTTCGAATTTGCAATTCAAACTAATTGTAATCTATTTTTAAGAATGATTTTTAAAAAATCAATTTCTATAAGAAAATTTGGAAAAATGTAAATTGAATATTTTAATGAAATTTATAGTTTATTATATAAGAATGAGTATAATTTTATTTGATTTATATAATTTAGGTATATTCTAAAGGCAATGGTAAGAAATGTCCGCAAAAATTGCATCGCAAAAGAAAATGTCATAAAATTCCACCTTGTTGTAAGTATTATTAAAATAATTTGGTCAAATTTATTTATAAAAATTGACTAAATAAAATAAAATCGCAGCTTTACAAAGTGATGAATTAAGACGACGTACATATCGTGATCGATATTCGGGAAAAGAAGAAAATCAAAGTAAGTATTGATTAATTGATTAATCATTATTGTATAATTATATAATTAAAATTGTATTATTCTTTATGTTAAATAATTATAATTGAATATTTTTTAATTTTTCATTATTAAGGCAATATTTATAATATTTTAAACATATTCTCAAAACTATTTTGAGAAAATTTTTATTTATTTTCATTAAATTCTTATTTTATAAATGATTTTTAAAGCCAATGTTAAAATCTAATTAAAACTTAAATCTGATATCTATATTTTCAATGATAATAATAAGTATACAGAGTATGAATAATTTATGAATATAAAAGCATTTTTCCTTAAATCTAATTCATCTAATTATATATATACTAAGAAAAATATTCGAATCATTAGGAAAATATTAAAATAGACAATTTTAAAATTAAGATTTACCAAAAACAATAATTCAACATAAAGATGAACTATTTATGAAAAAATATAAAGAAAAAACAATATTTAAAAATAATGGCTTATGAAATAAACTCACCAAATAAATATAATATTATATAATTATCAAAATTAGTTTCAGTTGATTGCAAAATGACACAATGGTCTAGTTGGTCACATTGTACAGCAAGTTGTGGAAAAGCATCACAATATAGAACAAGAACAGTCAAAATTCAATCTATTGGTCCAAAAAGCAAACCATGTTCTCATATGATAGAGAATAGGAAATGTCATACAATAGAATGTCCATAATAATGTTTATCCATTTTTATTTTATTATTTATTTTAAAACATATTTCAATTTAAAATTTTACTTATGTATCATTAAATCAAGCACAATAATGAAATAAATATAATATGAAATAAAATTTTGCTATAATTCATATTCAAATAGAAATTATTCTAAAATATTACAATATTTACATTACAAAATTCTTTATAACATATTTTTGAAAAATATTCAATATAAAAAAAATGACAATCAATATTGATATCATTTGATCATATTATGGTCAATGACAGAATCATTGAAAGTACTTGATATATTGATACATATTTTAGGATTGAAGTTTTAATTTAATTTTTTTATTATTTTAATTGCAAAACTTAAAATAAAAAAATTATTTTAATAATATAAGTATATTCTGATAAATTTATGTGGAATATAATATTTTAGATTAGATCTAATTTTTTAGATCTAATAACAATATATTTCGAATATAATAAAAGTTATTTTATTTATAAGATAAATATTACGAATATTTCTAATGAATTTCAATCAATTTATACGCACAAAATATTTTATTACATTTTTTATATTTTTTGTTTTAATTTTTTTCTTAATATAATTTAATGTTGAAAAATAATATTAATAAATAATTATAATTATAAAATTATTACTATTTTACTTATATGTAATATAATTCTTTCAGTCGGATAGAATTATATTTCACTTAGTCATAAAAAAATAAGAAACTGTTCAGGATTTATAGTAAAAAATGTATAAATTACACATAATTAACTATATCATATAGTTACATATATTATGTTACACATATTATATTATACATAATTAACTATATTATATTAAATTTTCTAAAAAAAACAAATATAAATTGTTTTATGCAAAAATAAAATATTTCAATTATTATCAAAAGATGTGTCATCTCTTAAAAAATAAAACAATCAATATTGCAATGATATATATTTCTCTGTATAAGTATTATAAAATATATATTTGTGGCATTTATAAGATTTAAGAAAATATAGATCTCAGTTTAAGATCAAATATTTCATTTAGTGTTTATTAAAATTGTATATTTAAGATTTAAGTAAAATTAATTGAACAAATTTTATCAACTTGGTAGAAATATCTGTAAATGATTCTTATATATTATTATCGAAAAACTTAATCTATTATATAAAAATAAATATGATATATTATACTTTTTTTTTTCAAATAATTGTAGTATGTATTAAAAATACTTTTGATATAGTAATATAAAAAATAATAAAAAATAACAGCTTACATAAAAAGTATAATATCACATCATGTTATAAATATAATAATTTCAAATAATTTTAAAATTAAAATTTTGAATCAATTTTTGCATTATTTTATTTTAGTTGAGATAATTTTATTAAATAAAATATATGTTAATATTATTTTATTTTTATACAATATTTATTAATACCTTTTTTCTTTATATTTTTACATATATTAATTATATGATTAAATTTTTAGATAATAATATACTTATATGTATATTACATATCGTTAGATAATAAGATCATTGTTTATTAAACAAATTAATGTATTCACTTATATTTGACAATAATAATATTATATTTAATATGATACTAAATGAAATTCAAAACTTTATTTTTATTTAAATTTAATATATAATTAAAATAAGAATCATTATTAATAATTAATATTATAACTTAATATTACAAGCATAAAATTTATTTAATATTTATTGAATTATAATTAATGCTAAAATATATTTTTAAATATTATTATGAATTATTTATAAGAAATCATTTTTATTTAAAAATAACTAGTTTTGAATCTCATTTTAGTGTTCAAAGATGTAAGATATTATAAAGCAATAAATTTAAAATTATTGTATTTTGTTATTTAATATTTTAAACTATATGATTAAAAATATACATCATTTAAGTTTTAAATATAATTTTATGAAATATAATATAAATATAATAATATAATAATTTTTTGTGTATGATATTAATTTATGTTATATAAAATTTTACAAGACAAATCCTTGTATTATACATATACATATGTATATATTCTTGTACACATATTAATTCATTATTCATTTTATAAAATTATAATATAATTTTTACTATATTTCTAATATTTTATATATTTTTATTTTAAGATATATCAAATACTATTATTCTTTGAAGAATTATTCTCATCTTCTAATGGAGAATATATAAGTATAGTATTACCTTTTTTTATTTTTTGTTCTGAAATAATTCCCTGCACTTTGCTTTTTACATTTTCTATTATCCCATCCTATAAAATGAATTATATTATATATTTAATTTATTAATAAGAATTTAATAATATCAATTAATATTTTTAATAAATATTGTAAATAAATATATTAATTTTAATATATTTATTATTAATAATACAAATAAACATATAAATATAGATAATCTATATTAAATATAGATTATAAATAAATAGATTATAAAGTTGTTAATAATTAATGTTCATCTTTTTACCTGGATTCCATTAGGATGAATAAAAAATATTTTAACTTTATGATTTTTCTTCAATACTTTATTAACATTATTGATTTTTATATTTAAATCATAATTCATTATATCATTTTTTATAGTGAATAATTTAGTGGATTTTAATTTTTTTTTATCATTATGTATTTTTTTTTTTAAATATTTTTCTTCCTTTTCTTCCTTTTCTTCTTCTTTTTCTTCAATTTTTGAATATTCTACAAGTTTATAAATATGTCTGTTGTTTTTAGATTTATCACTCACATGTACTAATTGGAGATTTCGGCGATTAGCTAATTTTTCTGCATCTTCTAATAGAGTAACAGTTACAGATTTATTTGGATGTATAAGTGTAATTTTAGGAATTCTTGGAATCTTTTGTTTCTTTTTATCGGTTTTTTCTTCTAAGTCATTCATATTATTTAAATTAAAATTGATCTTTTGATGCCATAAAAAATTATTTTGAATATATTGAATTTCTTTAGTTTCGTTTTTGTTTAAAAATAATTTATTTATCTTAAATATAAATCGTATTCCTAATAATCGTAACATTATTAATGTTTGTAAGTAATAAATAAATTGACTTGATAAATATAAGTTAAATATAAGTAAATTAAATATATTGAAAATGATGCACTATGTTCTTAAAATTAAGGTTAAGTCATTCATTCATCATCATTTGTTTTAATCGTTTTTTAATTTTAAGAATAGTTAATATTTATTAATAATTGAATAATTAATTAATTAATTTTATCATTTTATTTATTTTTCAATTTTAATCTTTATAATTGAATTTATATAAATGTTGTATAAATAAAAAATTATATAAATTTTAAAACTGAAGTTTTTAAAATTATAAAATAGTACGTATAATAAAATGAAGTATAATTTTTAAAAAATCTCATATTATTAATATTGAATATTTCTTTTTACTTAAAAATATTTATAAAATATTTGTTTAAATGGAACTATTCAATGGAACTATCAGATTATATAACAATTTTAATAAAAATCCTTAGTATGTTCTTTTATTTTTATATCTTAATTTTTATGAATTGTATAAAATATGAATGTATAAAATATATTGTGTAATGTATTTAATATATAATTTTTTATATTTTCCACATTTAATATATTTATATAATGTGTATTATATATTTATATTTGAATAATATATTTATATTTACATTATATTTATCACTTAAAATTCATAAAAATTTGAAAGATTAAATTGATATGTCAT